CTTTTTAAAACATTTTTCTTTCCTCTTTTGAGGAAGAAACGAAAAAGAAACGTATTAAATAAGAACAGAAAATGCAAAAATAAGATGCAGCCAAACGCACAAACTAATTACACTCAGAATGCATGACGGCAGCTAATAGTGACCATAGCCATTGGTGGGTCATTCACCACTAACCTCTGAGCCAGAGATAACACCTCTAGGTATCCAGGTTCTCCGTCAAAAGTTGTCTCAATCAGTCAGCCTTGTAGTTTCCTTAGAGAAAGTTGAATTTGAAAACAGCAAAAGTTGCCAAAGGTTGCAAGAAAAGTTGCAAGACGTGTACAGAGCTAAAAATGTCATGGAATATATTGGAATACATTGTTGGTATGCTCATTGCAATCAAAGTAACCAACGTGAGTTTTGTTAGATCAAAATCAAAAGTGAAATGTGAATCTCTACCGTAGTAAAAACAAACTGCATGGAGGTTGTATGGTGTACCAAAACAGTTTAAATATAATCTTACGCCTTTTGGTTGGTTCTTGACCCCCCCCCCTCCCCTTTCACACTTTTCTTTTACAGGAGTCAAGACACCCCCCCCCCCCTTTAGGCCTTTTCCAGGCGTAAGATTATATTTGAACGTCCCCTAAGGGTTTTCTGGATGAATCGATCCATGTCTAGATCTACCCTCCTGGCCTAAGATTTAGTCTTTCACAAATTTTTATATTAGATCTATCTACCTGGTGCTACGGAACCAAGCAAGCTAAGTAATCAGACGATCGTGTTTACGATTGAGTTTACTCTATTATAGATATCTAGAGTCTAGATTTAGCTAGATCAAGAAGAAGTAGAAGATGATTCAGTCCAAACAGGACTATTTTTGGGAGGTCTTGGTCAGGTCGGGACGGGTCGGTTTGCTCGACAGACTGACGGCGCACAGTGGCTATCGTGGCACAAATCGATCGCGCCCGACTCATTGCCTCAAAAAGAAACGCGTTGTTTTCAGGCAACGAGTCCGGCGATCATCCCAGCCCGATCTCATCCGCAACGGGCACTGGGCACCCCGTAGTGCAAAGGAAGTGGTAGATCTAATTTCAGGTACGAATTGACCCCTTCGAGTCGTTATTTATTAATTTTTAGTTGTGGAAGAAAATTTCGGTTATTTTTACCGAAATTAAATTATTATTTTTCCAACTCTTGCGAAAAATTGCCTAAAATTCGCGAATTCACAAAAATGGCAAAAGTTGCGCTGAAGCCAAAAGTTGCGTACGCAACTTGCGGGTTGCGCGCGCGAATTTCTTTGAGGACAGATGAATACTAACTAGAATAAACAATACTAGACTCATTACAATAATTCAGTCAACATTCAGAGTCATAGTGTCAGTGCACTTTCGCAGCACACCTTCTGATACATGTACTTTCATTTTTACTGACATGCTTAAAATCAAAGTAAATTCAACATAGGTGAATGTAGATACATACCAGAACTTCCACACACAGGGGCGAAGGCTGACTTGTTTGACAGGGTAATCAAAGTGAAATGGAACCAGATAGGACCTGGAGATATCATACTCACACAAGTCACAAGAATCTTACTGGCACTGGAGGCGGCAACTCTGAGTTGTGAATGAAAACAAATCCTGATTTCATGTTGTATGCTTGTTCAACCGCTAAAATAATCTGGAAAGTATTTCATTACATATTTATTCTAACTAACCTTAAATTTAACTTTAGATTTGAACACACGAACACCAAGGAAAGACGCAGAGATGTCGGCACTACAATGGCATGTTATACCAGGCAGCCGAAACACTTTGGTAGAGCATGCCAATTATTAATTTTTTATTTCACATTTGGCTGTTTTTTTTTGTCTAGCTTTTCGCGGACAGGAGCCGGTGTCATAATCGTGGTCACGATCTGATTATAGGACGTTAAAAAGTCGAGGAAAAAAAACAAGCACTAGCAGTGTAGTAGCAGGAGTCAAAGGATTATTAGGAGTTAGTTCCCCTCACACCTGTGAGGTAGACTCGACCAGTGTAATAGTTCGCTTACCTAATCAGCGCGTCTGGGTGCTTATAACTGTGGCCCGAAAGGGGTGAACAGGGTATATGCGACAATGAAACAGTTCTGACTGCTATGCACATGTTCCCTTTAACTCTATTGGTTGACTCTTCCAGCCTCACTTTAAGCTTACTTAATCAAAGCTTGTGACTGCTTATGGAGTGGCCCGATAGGGGCGAACAGGCTATTTCTGTGGCAATGAAACGGTTTTGAAGGTTAGGCATAGTCTATTGTTCATTGGTGATTATGAACGTCTTTTTACATTTAATTTATGAGGTTTACGTCTATGGGTGAATTTGACTGCGACAATGTTTCAAAATTAGGAAGGGAAGCAGTGATTATTTGATTATATAGACGCTTCGCCTTTGTTCCATACATACATGTTGATCAATACTATATCTGCATGTCAAAATACAGTCTGCAATCATGGGGAAGGAGCTAGAAGTACAAGAACGTATAGGGAAGGAGCCATTCTTATTTATTACCTCTGTGCAACGGGCTTTAACCTCCTTGCCTCTGTGAGGGAGAGTTGCGGGTTGGTCAAGGAGGTTATAATACGTTGGGGTTGGTACATCGACATGAAGTTCATCAAGTTGGCCTAGGGGCCTACCATGTCAGTATTGTTGCGTGCGGGAATGTTGCAACTTCACCGCAGAAGGTGAAACCGGTCACAGCTACTGCTGTACCGTACTTCATCCAATAAACACGCCTCCCGTTCCCGCGCACAGTGAAATAATCCAGGTCAGAGTGCCTGAGCACACAATAATATTATATCAGTCTTTGGTATTTCCGGAGAGAAAAATGATTGGCCCCTTCTATATTTTATCAACTCTCCCCCTGGGTCTCGTCCTTTTTATCATGCATATAAAATTATGTCACAGACACACACACAAACACACACACACACACACACACACACACACACACACACACACACACACACACACATACACATGTGCGCTGTGGATGATTGGAGGCAAAACTAGTAGGTCCCATCATTTTTTTTCTCTATTATTTGGTGTGTTTAATTTTACCTGGCACTTATTCTGTTTTCTTTTCAGAATCATAATTTACAACTTCTAGAGCCCCTGCTAATAAAATGTTAATAAATCGAATATACTCCCCCTACCCCCTTTTCCACGATACCACGATATTGCCGGGCGTTGATGACAGCTTTCAGCAATTATTGCAATTTCGTTCTTTTTGAAAAATCCAATTGAGACTTCTATTTAAACCAGGGTATGGCATGTTAGAGTTAAAGGCTTGACTGTTGCATGCAGGAGACCCGAGTTCAATTTCCAAGTGGAGGGAACATTTTTATAGAGTATCTCAGTCGTTTTGCTTGGGTGATGTTGATCCCTCTCCACCTGGGTTGACCCTGACAGGCATAGTTGGAAACCCATCTCTTAAATGATTTAAATTGTGTCGAAAAGCGCTTAAAACACACACACACACACACATATATTATATATAT